AGTATAATTAATCAAAATTAACATTGAAACTGACTTCCATATCGATTGCATCATCCTGTTCTTCTTCGTCATCGGATTCCACTTTTTTCTTTATTTTAACCCGCTTCTTCTTCACTATGACCTCGTCTTCGTTGTCCATCTCAAAGGGCCTGAATACTACATAATTCATTCGACCATCAAAGGAGACTACAAATGTATAAAACTGCGAACGGTTAACAAAAGAAACGTTAATTGCGAGAATTTCCGCGCGTGCATCATGCACACCCGCCATGCAATTCACGACAAAATGAGGCTTTTGGTGCAAGTGCACGCAGCTGCGATTTGGCGTCTCATAAAATGAATTTTTATATTCTTTCAAACTGTTTCGTTTATCATTTTTCTTTTCTTGTCACTTTTAGCTCTTTGGGTTGTTTCATACTGCAGTCGATGCATAGAATGCAGTCAATTCGTGGCGTGCAAAAGATATCGATTGATTGACTGCCGTGCTGCACTGCAGTATGAAACAACTCTTTTTCGTTTCCTTCCCTTTATTACTTTAGAATGCCTCAGAGAACCTTTGTGTATTTTTCAGAATGGTCCGGAGAACCTCGTTGGCTCGCATAGCGGCTACTGTCGCTGCATTGAGTCAGAAAACAGGCTTCGGACCCAACCGTTTATATCGCAAGGGAGTTCATTTTGTTGGCACGGAACCCGACGTCCTGAAATATCATTTGGTACTTGCTCGTAGTGTTTCTCATGTTTTCATACTGATACAGTCTCTTTAGCTTCAAGATAAGAAACCACATGAACCATATGGGCTGCAAGGAAGCAATCATCTTCTACCTGGAAAAGGCAAAATTCACTCCAGGTTGCCCGTAAAGGTAATTTGATTATTTTTATGTATGCCTGTCTTTCAGGAATCATGGTGATTTTGTGTTGACTTGATTTTCAGGTCCACATGAAAAAAGATAAAGTTTATGCATGGTGTAGTTGCGGGTATAGCGGTAACCAGGTAGATTTTCCGTTACTCTACAAAGTCTGACAATTTTGGCAAAATCAACTCAGTCACGATGTTTTGGCTTGGTTTTGCTATCTTTGCTGTGGAATATCTTTGCAATCTGAATATCTCTTTGCAAATCGCTAGGATACGTTCATAGTTGATCGTGTGCCAGCGCTGTGCGGCGATAGGGCGTTAGGCGACAAACCCATTTTTTGTACTCGAAAAACTCCCCGTGCAATAAGTCTTCGGCGGCAAGAACAGGGGTATGAGGATCGGGGCGGGTACTTAACTCGACGCCATTAACACGTTGACGACCTTGTGCATACGCGCGTATGCACGCCCTGGCCACCATTTAGCATTTTCGTGCATCAATTTTCCATGTGTAAACGAAAAGTTCTAAGGTAACCTCTGTGCAGTGATGATACTGGTGGGGCCTGGTTGTCATATAGAGCAACACAGGACCTTGCGGTAGCTGTCAAACAATCTAAGGGAACGGCCATAGGTTGCCGGCAACGGTTGGCGGCAACGGTTGCCGAGGTTGCTGGCATTGCCGACGATATGCATACGTGATGAAATCAAACAAAATGCAAATGTCTCATGAAATCTGAGAGTCCCCACACTTGCTCCAAGTAAGCGGCACTTGAGACGGCTACCTCGGCAACGCCGGCAATCTCAGCAACCTCGGCAACCGTTGCCAGCAACCGTCACCGGCAACTTATGGCCGTTCCCTTAGTCGCAGACGTAGATCATCAGTCCGTTTTGATGTGGTAAAAAATGGCTCGGTCGTCAACGTCTTAAAAAATGGCGCGTAGTAGGTAGCTTTACTGCTTGGTTGCTCGTTTTGTCGCCTAACGCTTGTCCTCCCGGCGGGGGCTTCATCACTGAATTACTGTGCTTCTCTACAAGTTCAATGCGTGCTCTTCCTGAAGTTTCTTTTCCAGCCACTTTGTGATGGTTCGCACAATTCTATCCACGTCCCGGATTTGAAGCTGAAGCCGGTACGATTTATACCTGACAAGGATACCACGGTTTGGTTTTGCAACTGCAAGCAGACCAAGAATAGGTGAGATATCTACGTGTGAATAAAGGCGGTTAACTTTTCTCGCTTGTTTTTGTTGAACGCGTGTTTTACCTGACTGCTAACATCAGATAGAGTACGTTCCTGTTCGGAGGCGAAGCTTCTGAATCGTCCGCATCGCTGGAGGCTTTGCGAGTGGACAG